CAACGCTACCTAATCTCGAATCGATCAAATATACCCTCGAACACAATTAATAGATTAATTCAAAAATAAAAATTTTGTATATTTATTTATCAAACATTAATACGTATGATATTCAACATAAGCTTCATCTTAAATCAATTCCATACCATCGTGACATAAAAACACGATAAAGTACTGATTGTACTGGTTAAATTATATATTTAACCTTTAAATGCATGATTTTTATATTTATTCGAATTTTGACATATCTCCACGTTTTAAGGCCCCGGATAAGAGTCGAATACTATAGTTTATGAGAGGACGTCTGTGTGTGTGTTTGTATGTGCGTTCGGAATTATTTTCCTGCTCGATTATCTCGAGAACAAAAAATGATATGGACGTGGGACCAATTGAATTCGACGTACATTGACACAACTTAGAACTGATAAGGTTTTTAGCAAAATCGGTCCAGCACTTTTTTTGCAGAATCAAAAAATTGGAAAAAAGCTAAATCTTATCATTCTTTCCACTGGGAAGTTAGTTGTGTCGACCTTTCGGGTCGCACCCAGACCACTGGAGAGCACTGATATTTTCATATGTTTTTATTGAAGAGATAATTTTTTCTTTTGAGAAAATAATGTAAAACAAACGCATAAGTAAAAACTATAAATCAAAAAATATGAATATTCACCGATATAATGTACCTATATAATATATTTTATGTAAGAAGAAAAGTCCACTCAATTTAATTTTAATCACAGAAAGAATTTTTCAACATACAGCGATTCGCACCAATGACGCTTTGGTATTTGAAACTAACCAGTCTTAATAGTTAATTGCTAAAAAATATTTTCTGACTGTTGAAAAACTTTTTTAACTGTTACCAATTGTTTCTGACCCTGTGTAAGATGGAGGACGAAGATGCTGATGGAATACGAGATGCATCGATACAAAATTAAGATTCCACAAGCTCAAGTGTGTCTTGGTAGAAATTTTGTGGAGACTCTGTAAGAGGACTTTCCAGAGTTTAAAATCTTAAAGGAATCATGTTAAAATGTCTGTAATGCCAATCGAATGAATGGCATCGTATTCGTGTGTACTAGAGTATTGAAATCGCGTACCGAGATCAGTAGTGCATTCATTGATTCACAGATTGATTGTAATTCTATGGTAAAATCAATATTTGCAACCAGACAACGCCCTAGAACTGCTGTTGCACTAGTATCCATAGGAAGCCGGGCAGATATGAGATTTCTCCTTGAGTTGACTGGGTTACTAAATGGGAATTAGCAAATGTGAGTCAAATCAATAGTTCCAATTTATCCTGATTTTATTAAACAATTCCTGGCTAAGTGAATTTGTATACTGAGAAAATTTTTCATGAAAAATTACCCTTACCTTTGGGTTAATCACATGATACCTCAAGAATCTTAGAAATTGTACAAACTACGCATATGAATTATTACAAAACCATCTGGGTAAATTTTACCAAGCACGTTTAGTAAAATTTCTCCAACAAAAAAAAAAATCTTTAGCCTTACAAATAAATGAAAAAGATGTTCTTTTACTCATTATGAAAAAATGGACAACACGTATAACAATAAAACTGGCCTTAACTCCCATAACTGACAAAAAAATCATTCTCCTTCTATTTAAGAGTATGCACTTCTTGGGTACATTTGAGGTCCATGGATATTCAATTTTACTATTTTCTTAAACTTCTTCGAGGAATGATCAAGTTGGTCAGTTTGTGTGAAAAACGTAGAAGTGTTTTAAGTTGTGGTGTTTGTTTACTAAATTTGTGATAATAGTGCAAGTGATATTGTTCCTGACGGCGAATAATTTTCTAGCATACATAAGATGTGGAAAAAAAATTTTTTACAGCAGAAAATTTCACCGAAAATAATAATGAAAAATATCCCTAAAATCTGTTAAAATTTACCAGGAATTGCTTGGTAAAATTTACTCCAAAACTGACAGTAAAGTAACTTTACCAAACTGCTTGGTAAATTTTACCCACACATTACAGTTAATTTTAAAGAAAAATTTTCTTAGTGGTAACAATAGATTCTCTAGTAGAGACTCTTTCAAAAATTTTGATTTGTTTCTTTTAACCAACTGAGTATTAAGATTGCCAAACTCTACCAGATCTAAGTCTTGCCAAACACTCCACTCTCATACCAAGACTCTGATTTCACAAAAGCAAAAGGCAACAAGCCCAATTAACAAACAGCAAAAAAGCCTCTTAGACGTTACTGTCACCGTACATATATCCTTCCAATTGACCCATGAGATCTTTATTGACCTCTGACATGGTCGATAGATGTCGTGAGGGGTTGAGAGATAGCCGATAAATACTTGGTTACACATTGTAAAAAAAATTGAACTAAGAACATGAATAGAAAAATAAATAACCATTAAAAAATGATAAAAACTTTCTTATCAATTCTTACCTTTTTTGAAATCTGTTCTCTGATTTAGGGAAATGCAGGGCAAAATAGATTTCCTGATTTAAAAATTTCTTATATACATAAAAGTATAATTACAAATGAGAACTGTTTTTATACGAACGTAAACATTTTTTATAACAGTTCCACAGAATCCGTTTTGCCTCACAAAATTACTAAAATGCGAAAAGATCCGTTTTACCCCATTTGTCCCCATCTTTTCATTCATTCTCTTATCTTCTTTCTTACCTATCCCCGTATCGATTCTTGCACTTTCGGTCTTATCCATTCTCTTGCCCAATTTTCCTATCTGCTTTATCAACAGATCATACAAATTATTCAAAATTTAAGTAATTTCTATTGGAGCTCTTGATTTGTCTCCGGTTTACTCAAACCACTACAATACTTTTTACGGAAAATTTTTCCACCTATATTTTTTACTTTTGCACTAACAAATTTTGTTAAAATGTTCTTTGTAACCAATTCTAGCTGGCATGAAAATGTTTTTAAAAATAATATGCTTAATAAAAATTGTTTGAACCTCCATTTGTTAAAATAAATTCCATCTTTTTTAACGAATTTTCTAACTTTCATCAGCACATGAATATAACCACTAATAAATTAAACCTAAAAATTATCAGTCATTAAACTTGTACTAAAAAAAAAATAATAACTTAAAGCATTTAAAATAGTTCTTGAAGTGTAGGAGTAATTAAATCATTAAATACCTTTTGTAATAGTAAGAGTCTATAATAAAGACGCAAAGTATAATTTAAATTTACATTTAGTTGAAAATTTCATCAAACTTATTTATAACTCATTTGTTTTGTTAGATATTGATTAATTTATCTTGTTATTGCTGGCATTGTGTATCTATTTAATGCGATTATTTGGTTGAAAGAGAAAATGGTAGTGTTGAAAACAAAGAAGAATGGAAAAGAGTTTTAAAATCAACCAGGCAAACAACTCAACTTATATAGTAGTAGTATCATCATTGCTTGCGTCAGACTATATTATTTTCTTTCATTGTTCGTCTAGTCATGTTTGATAAATGCATAAATGTACCTTATTGTTTGTTCCAAGAGCTTCTAACTCGACTACTCATTTACGTTAACATTGAATTATTTTATATCAAGGTTAAAATTTATGCATAATCAATAAATATTTGCTGTTGAAAAATTATTAAAATATATGATAAATAGATGGAGAAAGTTTTCTCGTAAAATTAAATGTTAACACGCAGTTATCGATTGTGAAACTGGTAAACAATTTTTCAGATTCTTATCAGTCTCCCGTTTATTTATTCAATTTTTTTCAGAGAAATATTATGTTGTGCATTGATTTTTATCAAACAAGAAGGTTTAATTTTTCTAAAATGTTAAATATAATGATATGTTTGACAAAAGTTTATTATGTATTAATTAAAAATAGAAAAACATGACACTTGATAATGAGGTAGATAAATAACTAGACTCTAAGCGACTCTCTCTCCTACTCGCTGACAACTACGTTTTACTACGAGACGACTATTACAACGTATTTTTTTCTAGTATGAAGGCAAATCTCTCATGCTTTACTATAACAGCGTAGTATTTAATTTTTACATTGTTTGTTCGTGTGAGTTAATAAGTGATTTATATATTTTTTACAATATTTGACAGATAAAACATAATACTGCTCTAAAAAAAAGTTCAAGTGCGACTAAGTTGTTTTAGTGTATAATAATAATATGAGTAGATCTGTTGATTATCGATGAAGATATTTCGTTTGTATTTTAAGCATCTAGGGTTACCATCTCAAATTTTTGAAACGCCGGACTGAAGCAGTGAAAACCCAAACAAAACAAGGACTCATCTCATCAAAAACCAGGACAGATCAGACTTGAAATTTTTTACTAAACATTTTAAAATTTATATTAATCTTTATTGTATTGAAACGTAAAAAGTTTTACTTAGAATAAATCGCAATTATTAAAATTAAATAATGGTTCCATTTAGATACGCATAAAACAATGAAAATACATCCATAGAACCATTTTTGATAGAAAAACTAAAATAAAAAACCCGGACATTTTGAAAAAAGTACCCCGGACAACCCTCCCAGTCAAAAAAAGAGGACTTGTCCTGGAAAACTCGGACGGATAGCAACCCTACCTAAGAGTATATTATAAGCCGAGATAGAAATACGCAGCCCGGCTATTCAGCACTCAATCAATGTTTTATAATAAGCGCATTCTAGCGCTGGCTAAAATCATTTCTATGTAGTTAGCTTATTTTATTGTCGTAAATAAAAATCTTTATTCATCAACAATAATTAAAAAATTATATTGCAACGGAAAATCAATTGTATATGAATTCATGTATATGAATCCTTGAGTCGTTCTTGTACCACACCTTATTAAAATATATTTTCAAAAATCAATATTTATGATAATTAGCTAACAAGAAAAAAATGTTTCCGGCCAAGAAAGACAACAATCTAATAATGTTTTATTCATAATTAAAAAAAAAGTAATATTCCTTTTTTCCTTTTATAATTGCTCGGGGTTTTAATGAAATTTTAATTCTATTTTAGGACGGTTGCGGACAATGGGTAAGTCTGGATTCCGAGTTGGAAATGAGAGGTGGCGAGGTAGTAGGCACGAAATCACCAACTGGTCATTCACTTCTTATCGCCTGTCGCTTCGAGCAGCCCTTTGGTAAGTTGAATATATTTTTCACATCATACATATATGATTTGTGTATTTGCTATCTACCATTCCACCACATAAATATGTATATCCACACAATACAATCGTTGTACTCTGGGTTATCAATTGGCATTATATTGGATTGCATTCCAACTTGAATACTCCTTTGGAATGTGTTCCAGCACACACAACAGGTGTGCCAGAATAAGAGATAATGAGAGATTTTTAAAATTGGCTTCATTATGCTGATAATAAAAAAGATGAATTATTTTCATTCGAGATCATAATGGCTTCTTTTTTAAATTATTTTATTTTTACTTAAATATGTTGAACATTTTTTTTCTATTTTTACATGAACTTACATAATGATAATTATTATTTCGAAATTTATTAAGAAAATTTTTTATTGAAGTTGATTCAGACTTTTGATTCGTGAAACCCAAAAAAAAACATTTGCTGACTCATTAAAAATGATGTGTAAACATGTAAGCTCTTATCAATTCAGGAAGTTGAGGTCATGCTAAAATAAGAGACACTTTTTTTAGAAATCAATTATTAATTTACATTGGAGCCTCTCTAATTTTTGCCCCTCTTGAAAAAGAAGGGAAGGTGCCCCCCCCTACTCTTTTCTAATGCTCGTCCTTCTCTTTTTAATTCTATCCCTGCTTCTTTACTATTGCTACTAATTTGCTACTAGTGCTATCTCCACTTTTTTACTACTCGTGAAAACATAGACATACAATATGTCTTTCTTTCTAACACTGCGTAGTGTTTTCAATACGTGTCTCTATAAAATTGTTGAATTCGTGGAACTCACATTCCCGAGCCTCCAAAATTAGAGAAGCTCCACTGTACTACTTTCTATCTTTATTTGGACATAGAAAAATTAGTATAAGTGCAATTTGGTCTGTCCACGTTATTATAAAATGGCTCTTGTTACAAATCTAAATAAATAACGATTTCATAAATGTAAACACATCTACATAAATAAGACATGTTCATAGATACAATACTGAAAATTTTTCCATCGAATTAAATATACCAGTAGATTTACGGTCGCAAATGAATTTATTTTTCCAACACTCTAACAAAGATAGAACCTGGATCCATCAGTTACGTGCTAGATGCTCCACCACTTCAACTATCCTAGTAAAGAGCAAGATTGGCACATTCCTGGTTCAATACTGGCCTGAGGTTAGCTAGATTATCTTAGTATTGAGCCAGAAATGAACTAGCCTTGCTTTCTACTACAATTTTTCATATTAAAGAATCTTTCCTAATAAGAAACAAAATAGGATTATTTCTGGCCCACTAGGCCATAGTTGGCTTATATTAGCACCGTCTAGGGTTAGGATTGAGTTAGTCATGCTTCCTGCTAGGGTTTTCCTACTTTTTGTACCTGCATTCATCGTACAATGATTCCCTTGAGTCCATCATTCCTTTTACGCCTTCAACAGCAAGACAAAACTGATTCATGACTCAATATTGGGCCATGATTGGCTTAGATTGAGACAGTGTTAAATCAAGTTGGATCCTTTGTGCTTTCCTGCTAGGATTGAAATATAATGATCAATTATTAAATGACATTTTCTTGGATTAATTAGTTAGAGCTCCACAAATGCACAATTATCTAAAATTTGTTTCAATTTAAAAACCTATTCAGTTAGACAGCTAATGACATAGAACACTAATTGTATGAGTATGCATCAACAAACTCAGCAGATTAAATCAAAAACATAGCAGTGATAGGGGGTGACCTTTGACTTATAGCAGAAAGAGATAACCACATACAGGATCTAAACGTGGGCTCAGCATTTCACTCACTTGTTTTTATGGGGAGTGTTCGAAACACTCAGAGTAGGAAGAGCAAATTCATTTCACCCTTGATATTTGGCATGCGGCAATGCTTTACACACACATTCACGTAAAATACACCAACAAGATTGCCGCCCACGGGTTGATGTTAAATTTTGTCTATACCTCGAGCCAAGATGTTTACACATCAAACAATTATTTTCAAAGAAACAAATTAATTAGTATTACACAAATTGTCTTAATGCTACAAGGAATGGTATTTTGATAGAATTTGACTATTAATGAATTAGGAGGATGGCGTTATGTACGAGCTGGATGGAAAGCTTTGATAACAAGTGAAACAGCCATCAAGTTACGAGCAGCTCGGCCTATGTGTGGCTCAGGTACCCTCAGCATCATCATCGTGAGATCTGAATCTTGAAAAATAATTAAGTTCGTGGATGTGTAACATAATTATTATTTAATATGCTTTTCATTATGACACTCAGTTGGCCTAATTATGAGCAAAAAAAAATTTGAAAATAATTCTAAAAAGAATACAAGTGAAGAATAATTTATAGAAGTTATAAATTAATAAAAAAATTGATGAAGTAACTTTTTTTATGCATCCAACGGACAAAATGGAAACTTTTCCTGTTTTTTTTATAGAAGTGATAAACCCTTTAGCTTACCCATCACTGCACTATATCTTTCAGTGTTGTGTATTCAATTCGATTGACTGAATAATTAAGTAATTAATTGGTGGTTCTATGATTATTTATAAGTAAAATTCATCCTTAATTTGAGTGCTAAATATTTTTTAACAGTCACATTTAATAGGTGGTACAGAAAAACAATTGAGATGGGGAAAAGGCCAGAAAATTTGTTAGAAATATTTCTGTCGATCATTTCCATAAATGTTTTATTTTTGGTGTATTCATCACTTATCATTGGAATATTATATTCAATCCTTGCTTTGAAACTCCAAGTGTGTCGTTCACTGAGTGCTCAATAACTCATGTCTGTGCTATAAACATTTCATTTCTGCACGGCGTGCGGTAATATAGTTATAATTAGTGCTGTAAAGTGATGTTTATTGCACTAGTGTTATAATATAGCTGTAATTATTAACTTTTAAAAACTGATCTAAATGTTAAACAATGTTTCGCACTGAAATTAAGATAGAGCTTTATTTATAAATAACTATTAATTGTATTTATGTAAAGTCTTTGATCCTATGCCAATCAATTGATTGATTAATCAGTTTACACGAATTTTTATTTACGTGTTTTCCATTGGTAAAACGATTTTAGAGGGTACCTGTGGATGCACGAAACTCTGGCTGCATCACTGTAAATACCAAATGTCTGACTAAATCCTTTTTCTTCTACTCGTGTATAAAAAGTGGATCATAAATTCACTTTTTATATTCTTCAATTTTGTTTTTCTTTTTTTCTTTTTTTTTTTTTAAGTAGTGTTACAAATAAACAAAATTATTTTTAAAATAAAATTCTTTCAATAAATATAATTGACAAGGAAGAAGAAAAATTTTTTTTTTTAAAAACTGCTCTTTTATTTTAACATTTCCATTAGTATTCAAAAAATATCTGAAGTAGAATGAGGTTCATTATAATGGACTTGAAATAAAAGACTCCCTTCAGAAAAATCCTACCATAGAATAGCTTAATCCTTTTCATTAGTATGATGGCGGTTGAAAAGTGTAAAATATCACATGTTTGATAATTAGTATTAGAATTCAAATGACTTTCTAGGGATTTAAACTACTTACGAATTCCATCTAACATTCACAGGAATTATATAATTTTTTTTTCTGTAAAAATTATATTTCTTTATTCTTTTTATCTTCATTTCATTATTATTCCTTCAGTGTTACCATTAGTATTATTTTCTTTATTAACTTTGTGTCATTCTTTTAACGCTATTCACCATCCAACAAAGTGGTCTCTTACTTTAGACCATGTTTATTCGCCTCAATTAGCTTTGAAATAAATACTCTTAATATCAATAATTATTATTTCAACACAAACAATGAATAAATAAAAAATTACTCATTGAAAAAACTTTCAGTAATTCTTCTGATGACCTTGAAACTAAAACATATTGTTCCCTTGATTATATAACAATAAAATAATTATTTATTTATTTAACAAATTATCTATTTGCGATGGATATATTTCTGACACGATTTAAAAAAAAGCTCTGATTATTTATACATAAGAAAATCAATGTTTAAAACACTAGTCTAAATTATTAATACTCCCTCCTCCGTTTCCCTTCCACCTCTGCCGTCATGTGTTTATAATATATCATTTTTATAGGACAGATAAGTACTTGAAATTTCGCTATTTCTCACGTTTTTTTACATATACATATGAGGGTGGTGATGAAGTAGGAAGGGGAATGGGAGAGTGTTAATCATTTACACGAGTGTTTCGGATATAGAGCACATGTTTTTATTCTCAAACTGATCATTTTTGAGATGAACATAGTGAAAATTATCTTATTGTTACTAATATTGAAACGTCAACAAAATAATTGCTCAAGAAATAATATAAAAGATTTAAAAAATTATTTAATTATTATGACAGGATAATCAAAAGGCTAAATAAAAATCCACGTGTCAAAATGTAACATTTAAGATTGTTTATTACTGTTATCATATTTTTTATCTTAAATTCGACCTTTTTATCTTAATATTACTTTTTTTTGAGTAGATAAAAATTAGATTGTTTAAACTATTGCTGTATTATTTCTTTTTATGCATATATTATTGTTACCTATCTGTGACCCTACACTGCAAATCCCAAGATTTTACAAACGTGTTAAAATAACACGCATAAAGTGTGTTCAATGTCAAATGCCCATAAACAAACTATACATGATTTGTAGACACTTTTAACACATTTCATCGTGTGTGAAAAATCTATAGTTTGTTTACAACATTTAACATTGAAGAGGCTTAGCGTGTTAAAAGTGTCTACAAAAATAACACACTTGGATTTGCATTGTAGTCTAGCTTTGTTGTTGGGCCGATGTAATTGTTTAAAAAATAAATAAATAATTAGATTGTTACAAACAGGATAGTCTAATATCAATCTTATGAATTTACTTGCTCATGTCAACTTCTGGAAAATTATATTCATTATTTATAAAATTTCCCGAGTAGAATTTATTTTTGGGAAAGAGTTCGTATC